TTATACAATTTTTTTTGGACGAACGACAAATACTAATTCATTTCTATCGTTCACAAAATAATTACAGTAAAATCAATACCTGAAGTAAATTTATATACATAAAATTTTTTAACCAATTTTCAGATCAGGTTATTTTGCACTCACGTTGTTGTATAAACAGATTAGTTGAATCTTTAGTTTCGAAACAAATAGTCACAGAGCCCAAGAAGACCTCGAACTACTGTTTCAAGTTAGGGAATTCACATTGTTTGTGCGAACACTCTGATCATTGACGATTAATAATGAAAAATCTTTCCATGGAAGCTAAGGAGCAAACTGACAAGCGACATACATGCCAGCTTTGTAAAAAAAAGATTCTTACACGAAAGTCAGTTCACGATACACTTGCGAAAAAACACCCAGGAGCGGCCCTACAAGTGCAACGAACCTGCATGTGAAAAAGAATTTTCTTCCAAACTTAGTCTGAAAGTCCATCTCGTTTCTCACGCCAACGAGTTTCCCTACAAATGTGACGAATGTGGCCAATAATTTGTTCATAAAAATGGAATCATCATTAATCTGCGCGTACATACCGGCGAGTGGCCCTACAAGTGCGACGAACCCGGATGCGAAAAAGCTTTTGCCTCAAAAAGCACTTAAAAGGTCCACGTACGCATTCACACCGGCAAACGACCTTACCGGTGTGGCAAACATGGGTGTGGAAAAGCTTTCACCCACCGAAGTAATCTCTTGATTCACGAACGCGCGCACACCGGCAACCGGCCGTTTGAGTGCAAGGAACCCGGGTGCGAAAAAACTTTTGCCCTGCGGGGTAATTTAAAAATCCACTCTCGCATGCACACTGGCACGCGTCCCTACAAGTGCAACGAACCGGGATGTGGGAAAACTTTCGCTAGACGGTATTACCTCTCGCTCCATCAGCGGACGCACACCGGCGTTCGTCCCTACCAGTGCAGTGAGCCTGGGTGTGGAAAAACTTTTGCTCAGAAGTGTAATATGAAAAAACACGTACGTACGCACTCTGGCGAGCGACCCTACAAGTGCAATGAGAGTACATGCCAAAAGTCTTTCGCAAGCCGGAGTTACTTGAAAAAACATGTTTATTTGCATTCCGGTGAGTATCTTTACGAATGCGAAGAGTGTGGGCAAGACTTTGCTCAACTTCGTTATCTCAAAGCGCACGCGCGTGTCCATACGGGTGAGCGGCCTTACAAGTGCAAAGAACCCGGGTGTGAAAAGGCATTTGGACAAAGTGGTGATCTCAGGAAACACATCCGCACCCATACCGGTGAGCGTCCCTTCAAGTGCAGTAACCCGGGATGTCAACAGGCATTTTCCGACCAGAGTAATTTTAATCGACATATGCGCTCTCACCACTAATGGGCTGCCTTTATTCATGCCACTGTTGCATTAAATTTATCATTTATCTTTTATATTAAACATGTGTCATTGTAAAGGACAAAAAAATTATTTTATCATCTAGTTGTTGAGAATCCTCGTTAATGTTCACACAATAGTTTTCGAAAAATGTATTGTTGAACATAAAAGTAAATCTCTATACCGTTTGTTTATTGAAAATTTATCATTTGTATAGTTAAAAAGCTTATTAAAATATATTTTAAAATAATCGAGTCACTCCTATATTATTTACTTACTGATCAACTCAGAAACGTTAATTATGCACATTTTATTACTGGACGGTTATCTTCCTAAAGAGGACTTGAAAAAACACGTAAAAAGTCTAATTAAGCATAACTTACTACCTATAGATAGTCAACTTAATTAACATTAATTAATTTACCATGAACCACATACCTTGATATCTTGGTACTCAATTTTTTGGAAAAAACACAGGAATTGGAGTCATTATTAAGCTGGTATGATTTGGATATCATCTACTTACACCTCATTTTTCAATTATCACCAATACAGAATAAAAAAAAAACTTGATTCGTTTATGCTGAACATAAAGTTTTTTAATATTTTTACAAACTTATCAACAAGGAACACTCAATATTAACTAATTTTCGTAGATCACATTGAAAAAAAAAAAAAAATTTCTCTCATTTTTACTTTCTTGGAAGTTATTTAGTACCTTTTTTAAGTACAGATAAGTAATAAAATACACCATTCGTGCAATTTACAAGACTATTTATTTATTTCACAATGAGCTTTGACATTTGATGTATTATTTCAATATTGTGAGGATTGTACATTATAACATAAAATTGTAACATAAAATTTATACACATATTTTTATAAAGTTACTTTTGAGCATTTACACCGTTGTTTGGTGAGAAACGACTGCGG